ATCTTGAGCTTTTTTGCTTTTCGTATTCATGTCTAGCAGCTTCAATAATTGCACTTAAAGCACTACCTTGTTTGTTTAGGCAACTCTTTTTTGTTTTCCTTTTGTTATAATCTTGTTTTTTCTTCTTCTTCTCCTTTTTTAGCCCCATAGCAAAATCACCTCTAAACTTCACAGCGGCAGTCACAAAGGTAGCTGCTGCTTTTTTACCAATTCTTGAATCTGAATCTTTATCTCTTTGCCAAGCCTTATCAGCTAAAATTTTATCTGCTTCGCGTTTGGCTTTCAAATCTTGTCGATTTTCTGAGTATAATATATCATGCTCTTCACACACGGCGTCTAACGGATTAACTCCTAAATATCCTCTAGCAAGACGCTTAGCAAGCTTAGTACCTGGACCACAATACTGGTATCCGGGCAAATGAAGCTTACCTGGTAACGATTTTAAGATTTTATTTACAAGACCTCGTCCTCTCTTACGATGCATAATAATGATGATTAGTTTCCAGAGGTTGGATCATGACTAAGCGTTCGAGAAATTAAATGATGTGTTCATAGTAGATAATTTTTTTGCAATTAAGAGCTTAAAATATCAAAGCGTTATACTATTAAATTAAAAGATTAGTTGTAACTCATTCTTCATACAGAGTTGACATAAAATTCAAAGAAAAATTCATAAAATTACAAGTTCCGAATGTTGACGCTATTGCAAAACAAAAAAAAACATTCGAATCAACATGGTGAGCTACTTTCCAATAGTATTCGTGTTATATTTTGCGGCCCTTCTAATAGTGGAAAAGCTAATAGCTTATTGGTTTTAATAGTGCATCTCAATGGAGTTAAGTTTGAAAATATGTACGTGTATTTCAAATCGCTGCATCAACTAAAGTACAAGTATTTAAAAGATTAATTGGAGCCTATTGAGGTTGTAAAATACTTACTTTTCAGCGAACACAAGACTGTAGTCTCACCAGATGATGCTTTACCAAATTGTATAATGATTTTTGATGATATAGCTTGTGAAAAACAAGATAATGTAAAGGCCTTTTTCTGTATGGGTAGACACAAAAATTTTGACTGCTTCTACCTTTGTCAGTCATATGTTCAAGTACCGAAGCATCTCAATAAGGATAACGATCATTTTTTAGTTTTATACGCAAGATGAAGTTATCTTAAGGCATATATAAAATGATCATGTAAACTCGGATATGCCATACATTCAATTAAAAAATTTATGCTCTAATTTCTGGAATGATGATGAACATGGATTTGTTGTTATAAACAAAGACAAGCAAATGAAAAATGGTCGCTACAGAAAAGGCTTTGATAATTATGCTGTACATTTACGACATACCTAGTAGTCTCATTACAGTCGGTCGCAAGACATTGGAGCATCGTCATGATTGGCATCATCATCATCATCATTATCATTATGTATGAACAGGAAAAAGACATTTAACGTAAGTTAGTGAAGGCATAAGAGGCTGTAAAAATAAAAATAATAGTTTAAAAAATTAAGAAACATGCTTCTAGCACGCACTAAAAATTACAAAATAATTCGGACATTTAGTTTGATGACTCATGAGTTTTCCCTTTACCAAATCTTCATTAGATCCCAGGTTAAAATATATAATTTAAGTTCGTGATAAACGATAAATAATTACCTATGCGAAATGGTTATAAGTAGGTTATTATCTTTATTAAATATTTATGATTTGCAATGAAAGAAAGCGTGGAGCGTTTGTATAATTTTTACTTTTTTTAGACAAAACGCTCCACGCTTTCTTTTACAACAAATTGTAGTAAATATTAAATAAAGATGATTACCTATGTAATCTTTACTCTTTTTGGACAAAACGCTCCACGCCTTCTTTCATAATGAATCATAGTAAATATTTAATAAAGATGATTACCTACTTATAACCATTTCGCATAGGTAATTATTTATCGTTCATCACGAACTGAAATTGTTTCTGTTTTATTGCGATCTTATAAAGATTTGGCAAACGGAAAACTCTTGAGTGATCAAACTAAATGTCCGAATTATTTTTCAATTTTTAGTGTGTGCTAAAAGCATGTTTTTTAGTTTTTTAAACCATTATTGTTATTTTATACTTTTTAGTCTAATAGACGGTCGATCCTCCTAGAGTTCCATGTAGGGGGGCAAGACTAACTACAATAGGGTTGCGCCCGATGCCCATAGGTGACGTTAGCGACATGATATTTTTTACCACCCTTATACTATTCAGCCCTCGGCGCGTAACCTACCTTGGCTTAGGTGAGATCTCATAGACTTAAAGTCCAATCTTCATATTCTTCTCGTCAAACCTTATTGACTGATACCCATTACATAATAATTAGTTTAAAAAATGTCATTTTGCATTATTTTCAGCATACTCTTTTATTTTATACGTAAATCATAGGGCTGCATTTCAAATAGCCAATCCACCACTTTGGGACGGCCACCATGTTAGATTTAGGTCACGTGATTTTTATTTTTTTCGTATCCTATTCAGCAAACCCTTTCATTTAATACCCATTTCATGGGAGTGGATTTCAAACAGCCAGTCCACCATCTTCGGGAGGCCGCCGTATTGAATTTGTAATGACGTTTCTTAGCTAGTCATGTAATGTCATCAGATCTCAGAGTATGTGCAAAGTTCCATCCTAATCGAAGACCAGGAAGTAGGTCAAATTAAGATTCCAAGATTTTCTTACATACATAGTTAGTTACAAGCGAAGCTAATAAAAGCGTTTTAAAAAGGTGCAGGCTATTGAAGATTGGGGGAAATGAGGCTGAAAAAGTGCTTAGTGAAAGTTTGAAACCGATTACAGACCCTCTAATGGAAATTGTTGCCGAAAAAAAAAAAAAAAAAACAACAATAATAATTCTGTTGCTCATAATTATTTTTATAGTAAAAACGATGAAGAAAATAATAAAGTTAATAACGAAAAGCACCAAAAAACAAAGAAAAGATCAGTGAAAGTGATATAACACTCGAGTCTGCTATTAGTGAAAGTGATAATAATACTGATTTAAATAATACTATTCCAAATCAATCCGTTGATTTAGTACAAATCAGTAAGAATTTCAAGAAGTGGTGAGAATATCATCAAATACTTTTTATTTACAAATACTTGATCAGAATCTAAAAGATTCATTAGATTTGAAGTATGAAGTACGAAAAGAAAAGAGGTGTACAAGCTTGGTGATTCGCGAGTAGACTTCGAAAACAATCGTATCAAAATAAACCATTTAAATTATCCAATGAGTGCTGGATTAATGGAGCTACTTGTCAAAAAGTATCCTAATGAATCTGTAGTAGTACGCGATGATTCGCAAAACTGATACACAATATTACAAACTTCAATTGTTCGTAGAAAAGGGTTTAAAAAAACGGAGCTATACGAACCCATAACAGCAATAAGTTCAATAAAATTATTGCTCCATAGTTAGAAATCACTGTCTGCAAATAAGGCGGTTCGTTGCTACCTTATTATAAAACTGCTCAAATAACGCAACAAGTAGATCATATACATTGGGATGATCCCAATGAGTTAGTAGATCGTTTACACTTATTAACAGCTGAAAAGTCAGCAGGAAATGCAAGTCTTGACAATGAAATTTTATCAATCATCGAAGAGCTTCGTGAAGGAGGGTAAATATATTGATGAGCACAATTTTTGCTTAAGTATCAAAATGAGTGTCGATGTATTCGGTCGAAAACTAGGTAAAACCGAAGGTAGTAGCCGAAGTCCTCCTGATATAGGATACAAACTTACAACAGATAGGCAGTATGACTTAGATAACAAAAGATTGTGCAATGTTGGAGCACCAAAACTGCCGTAAGTCACAGTAAATTATGCTTACTTAATTAAAGTAATTAAAAGGCTTGAAAAAGAAATAGATGGCTTTCGAATTTTTATGTTCAACTTATAAAAAAAACTCCCATTTATTCAAGCTGATTCAAAAAACTTAAATCTAGACAATTAATACATAGGGAAAATCGTTGAGGAACTGCATAAGGCAGCAAGGCGTAATTATCTTTGCCAAAAATTCAACATACGTGGTTTAGATGAGACTTGGCAAGCAGACCTTGTAGAGATGCAGCCTTACGCTTCCGAAAACAAAGGATACCGGTATATGCTCACTGTAATAGATATTTTCTGCAAGTACGCATGGGCTGTACCCATCAAGAAAAAAACTGGTGAAGAAGTAACTGCAGCAATGCATTCGATATAAAAAAAGGACGGGTGCCAGTGAACATGTAAACTGATCGCGGCGAAGAATTCTATAATGAAAACTTCCATAATCTCATACAAAAGTATAAAATAAACTTATACTCAACTTACAGCAATCTTAAAGCTTTTATATTCGAGCGATTTAATCATACTTTAAAAGATTTAATGTGGAAAAAATTCAGTTTGCAAGGCAATTATAAGTGGTTAAATTTGTTACAAAAGTTAATTAAATTATGTAACAATAGAAAACACTGAACAATTGGTTTGGAACCGAAAGACGTTACTACTGAAAATGAAGTTCAAGTCTTAAAAAAGTTTTAAAAAAGATGTAAAAATAGCAGTGAGCCAAAGTTTCAAATTGGCGATAAAGTACGCATGAGCAAAACAAAACAAGCATTCGAGAAAGGTTATACACCGAATTGGTTGACAAAAATATTTACAATTACGTGAGTAACAGCAACAAATCCAATTACGTATTATCTGAAAGATTATTAAGACCAACCTATTTCTGAAGATTTCCACGAGCAAGAACTGCAAAAAAGAAAACATCCTAATATATACCTTTTATAGAAAGTCCTTCATAGTCATGGCAATCAAGTTTTTGTCAAATTTTTGCGCTTTAACAGTACTCACAATAGTTGGACGAGTAAATAACTAAGATATTTTGAATTACTTTAAGTTTAAAAATCATAAGATTGTAATATGTATAAAGTAATAATGAAAATGTTACATAGAAAGAATGTTTTGAATAAACACTCAAATTTTAGAGAAAATTGTAATTTATTTTTTTACTTTTTTACATCACATAAGAAAATTTGATGTGTTTTCCGTTGTTTACTATGAATAATTTAAACTTATTTACAGCATCCAATAATTCATTATAGAATTCTTCGTTTTTGAACAGAGCTGAACTTCTAGTCTGCAGAAAAACTTCTTAGTTTTGACACCATGTAGTTTTGGTCGGTTATGAATTCGGAAAGTTTTTTCGTTGGCAGAAAATCACTGTCAGCGATTTTGTTTAATGTCGCGAGATCCATCTTTAACAAAACAAAAAAACATGAAAGTTAGCATAAATTATTCATAAATTACATATGCTGTGTGAATATGCACAAATATTTACTATAAAAATATGTTAACTTGACTGTATTTAGATTTATTACTAGGTGGTTCACCTAAAGGTGATGTCAGCTTCTGTTGATTAAGTTCCACCTTACTTGGACCTCTGCTGGAAGATGTAGTGTAGAAGTTTAGTCGAGACAACTCCTTATATAGTATGAATGAGATCGTTTCAATCAACTTCTTAATAAAACAGTAAATCAAATTAAAGTGAAAATCTCAAAATGATTCTTAAATGCACATTTAAATTTGAATGAACATTAATTTATAAAATAGCTTTTTGAACGGCGTTGAATGAGACGTTTACAATATTATTAATTGATTTCTCGCTTGGGCGTTGGTGAAACATTTCGGATCAAAATGTATATTAATAAGTAAAAACTTCAAAGTTGGCTTTGTTTCACAAAGTTTTATTATTCGCAGACAGCTGTTTCGGCAGTTACGCCATTGTCAGATGCTCGACATACACTGAATGGTCTATGTACATCAGTTCGCTGAAGTCAAGTACAAGTATTCGATGTTGTTAATCTATTTCCCTCCATCCCTACAGACCATCTAAAGAATATTATTAAATATCTGGTTGACAATAGCCCTTCCTTGTGTGTTGATTCAAAACAAGAAATTTTAAAATTAATATCCATTTGTTTAGAACAAAGCTAATTCAAGTTCAATAATAAATATTATTTACAACTTAACGGTCTTCCAATGGGCTCTCCCCTCTCCCCCTTCTCAGTGAGATATTCATGTCATACGTAGAGGACCTTATATTCGATTCGACCTCCCCCCTCACCAGTAATGTTTAACACTGGTCGAGGTATGTCGATGATGTGTTTTGCATCTGGAAGGGTACAGAGAGGAAAATGACTAATTTTCTCAGCTACATAAATGATTTAGTACCGGGTATAAAATTTACAGCAGAAGCTGAAAATGACAATAGTTTAAATTTTCTGGATCTAAAAATAACACGAAAAGACGGTGAGTTGTTGTATGAAATTTATAGAAAACCAACTTTCACAGATACGTTGGTACCGTACGATTCAAAGCAGTCCATCAATATAAAAATGAGCGCATTTTACTTTTTTGTACATAGATTATTAACAGTACCGTTAACGAAATCTAATTACGAAAAGGAAATCAATCTATTAAAATGTTTAGCAATTAATGATGGTAACAATAAAAACCTTATAGATAATCTAATTTTTAAAATAAACAATAGACTTATTTCAAAATATTTTTACGCAGTCGCAAAACAAACCAAAAAATTTAATATGTTGAATTATGTTCCCATAGTATCCGATAAAATAAGTAATTTCTTAAAAAAACAAAATGTAAATACAATCATGGTCAATAAACGTAACTTCAAATCAATTTTATGTAATAATAAAGAAAAAGTTGGTATTTTACAGAAATGTGGTGTTTATCAGATTAATTGTTCCGAATGCGATGCCATATATATTGGATAGACAGGACGTGCCCTTTCCGAACGTGTGAAGGAGCATAAAAAGTCTATTTATAATGATCGCAATACGACGGGTTTTAGTGAACATTGTAATTCTAATGCGCATTTCCTAGATGAAAGTAATATAAAGTTACTTCACAGTTTACCTAAAAGTTTTAAATTGAATCTGTTTGAGACAATAGAAATAGAATTAGCAAAAAAACATAATAAATTCATAACGAACGATCAAATTAATTTTACTTTATCTCCAATAATAGAAAATGTAATACATAGTATCTCATAAGGTACTCATACACAGGCACATACATATCATACCGTTGAGCGACAACTACATTTGTAATACTTGTACTTGACTTCAGCGAACTGATGTACATAGACCATTCAGTGTATGTCGAGCATCTGACAATGACGTAACTGCCGAAACAGCTGTCTGCGAATAATAAAACATTGTGAAACAAAGCCAACTTTGAAGTTTTTACTTATTAATATAAATTTTGAGACGTTTACATTGAGAGCACTATCGCAAGGAGTCGAGGACTCATTTAAAACGGCAGAAATTTGGCTACATAAAGTTTTCTAGAAATATACTGATAGTAATAGAATAATTTGTTTGTTTATACTCCACTCGCGCGAACGTACATGCATTCTATTGAACAAAAAATTGTCATATTTGCTATGCTTACAACGTTTTCTATAGAAATACATTTTTACCTGAAGCGTAAGATAATTCAAGTACGCCGTGTCCCTTCTTTTTATTTTTTGTTGCAAATCCTGAAGTATTCTTTCAACATTGCCAGGAAGGGCTCTGTGTCACTCTTTAGCTTTTTGCATATTTTACTAAAGGAATCTTGAATTTTGCCTTTTGAAAACTTTTTACTGTTTAGATTACGATTAGCGTCGAATAACCTATGATGTAAGGTTGTTATTGTTCAAATGATAAATTCACTCGTTCACATTCTTCGTACGTTATTCGAAATGGAGTATATATACTTGAATTTTTTCAATTTCAAAAATTTTTCAATGGTTTTAATGAATATAAAAACTACGTGCTCTTTATTTTACCATACCTTCCCCTCAAGTGGTTATTACATAGCATTTAGGTAGAACTTCCTTCTCTTCACTTCCTGACACGTGGTTAATGAACGTTCCTTAACATGTAGTTGGTGCGCGTTTAGCAAGCACTAGGTAAGTACTTGGTGGGTATTTGACTACTACTTAGTGGGCACATGATAAATGGTTTGCGGGTATTTGACTGCCACTTAATGGGCACATACCAGATAGTTAGCAGATACTTAACGAGAACTTAGCTGGTACTTGGCGGCTACTTGATGGGCTCTTGAAAATCACTTGTGGAGCACCTAGCTGGTACAGTAAATCATAAAATATCTGATAATTGTCAAGTGTCTGCCAAGTACACACAAAGTGCTCGTCAAGTACTCGCCAAAAGTCCGTGAAGTACCTACCAAGTACCGGCCAAATACACGCCAAGTGCCCGTCATGTACCCGCAAAGTACCCACCAAGTACTTGTCAGGTGCCTGCAAAGTACACATCAAGTGCCCGACAAGTTTTCACTAATTAAATGCCAACTTAGTACTGGTTATAAAATTTATTTTATGTACTTTATGTATTTTATTTACAACTATCATTATAAGCAAACAATACTCTCAAGTTGAATGAAGTTAAATTATTAGTGAGCGATTATGAAAATCCTTAGTAGCCTCAATTGCTTCATCATTTAAAGTTATCGTTTTTATAACGTATGAACTAGTGGTTTTATTTGGTAATGTATTTAATGTTTTACACTAAATAAAGTATTTTCTTTGTGATAGTAAGTATTAATAACTTTCGTTTAAAGTGGGCTGAAATTGAACAAATTTATACAATATCCTTAAAATCCATAGAACACAAAACTTCCGAATTCAAACGCATGTATGCGTATATTCAATTGTGTGCATTTGCGAAAGGGCTTCCTAAAGCAATAATAAATTTGTTAGATTTCAATCCTGCAAGTTAAACACCAAGTCATGTATAAAGAAATTTACTCTTTTTTTAAAATGCATAGAAATGTTGTTAACGTTAATAACTTTAAGATCCTATGGCATAGAAAAATTAAAAAATCCTTATTTCTATTCCAAGCATCATTATAACTGTAAATTTACGGGTAAGACGGAGATCCGTAACATTAGTTTAGCTTTTTTTCCACCTTCAACTAAAGCAATACTTTTTGTGGTGTCAAGTCTTTTGTACCTTCAGCAGAAAACTGTCTATAAATATTTAAAAAAGTGTTCAGATCGATCTCTATTTGCACGACGTTGTAATTGATTATGACGCAAAATATATTGTTTTAGTAGAATGAACCATGCATACATATCCACAGTTCAAGTATAAAGTCTCCATGAGCCTTTAATGGTTGCCAATCAATCTCCGAGCAGTTTTAAGATTGTCTCCTTACTCTCAACTAACGCAAACATATGAACAAGCCTGGACATAAATGTGTGGAAAAATTAATAAATGCAGGTAAAAAATATAATACAGAAAACGCTAAATTTTTCTACGTAGCTCTTTTTTCAGTTTTAAGTCATATTTAATACTGTTAGTTTAGTTCTGACCTTGACGTAAGAAAACCTTAACTACGTCATAGTATTTACAGTTACTGGGGTTGCCAACATTATTTTAGCTAAATATGTATTTTAAGAAAATACTCATCAAAAATTTTGTACTTAAAAAAGAAAATATTTTTTTGCACTTGTTGCATTTTTTACATTATTCTATCCGCAATTAAATAGTCATGTACATTATCGCAAGCTATTTGTCAATTTAAATAAATTTAAAGCTCGTTTTTATAAATGAGATACTTACTTAATTTTTATCTTCACGCCGTTCAAAATTCTGTATTTAAACTGCATGATTTTTTTGGTTTAATAATTAAAAAAAAAACAGTTTTTAATCGAAGACTGTAATATTATTATCATCTAGTTGTTTAATAGCTGTATTGAAGATACACCGGAAATATCTCACAAAATTTGAAAAGATTGGAACATTACTGCATCTACTGCTTTCATTTATCATCAACATAATGAGGGTATGTTTAGGACAATTATTTTCTAAGCTACTACAATATCTTGCTGTATATTTGTAAACCAAGAATGGTAAGTACTAAAATTTGCACTGGTATTTTCTGCACTTAAACCAAAAATTCTCTTTAAAAAAAAGGCAGTGTTAATTTTTTTTTTTAATCTACTAATTTATTTTGCATTTGGTTCCGAACTTTAAGATACTAAACATACTGAACAACGAAAAGAAATTTTTTTTTGTTGCTAGCATTACGTAGGCTTTACAATAAAATATTAGCAATGAAACTTTTTAAGAGAGGCTAATTTTCTACACCAAAATACAGTACACGTTAACTTTATTAGTACAAGTACACGTAACTACAAACAGCGTCAATCACAACTAATGTC